CACACACACACACACACTCGTACACAGACACAGACACACTCACACACACACACCAGCAATTATAATCAACAGGTCTCCCATCATCAAAACTTACAGAGTCAGTGAGCTCCTCGCTGTCCGTGTGCATATTGTGTTTGCCTGCTTCGATGGGTAGATGCGGCTCGATAAATTTCATGTTATCTGACCGCCCACTTCTTCATAGCACTTGGCTCACTGATCCCCGCCTGTGTCAGTGGAAAATCTGGCTGCCGGGTGAGTTAGATCGGCTATTTGAAGCCAGGAGAGGCACCACGTGACGAGACAGAAACGCTGTGGATGACAATGCCTTTTATTTTTCCAGAGCATCTGGTGGACCGTACCGATCTGAGGCCGGGAGAGCGACGACAGGGGAGGCTGGGTAAAACGTCCGAGCGCATCAGTGCATGACCCTCGTAAGCCGGCAGCCCCCAGATCAGCGGATTACCTCTGAATATGTCTAAAAACTAATCCCCTCAAATGAGTTTGAAATGTGTGTGAACGCACTGCGGGGAACTCCAGGTGTGGTGGACCTTCAGCCTGACCTCAGAGATCTGATGATGTCCTGACATCCACCTGGAGCCAGATGTGGGTCACAGGTGTGACAGGTGTTGCTCCGTCAGCAGTGTGATGACCGTCACTCCTCCGTGGATCCACGCTCTGTGCTTGAGTCGTTTGAAAGACAAACTCATTTAATCATTTTAGAGATTTGTTGTTTAAACTTGACGATTGTTGATGAGCAGAAACACGTTCTTCATGATTGAAAGAATCTCTTGGAGTTTGCAGTGATGTGGTTTGGTATTGTGTGTTTCTTCAGGGGCTGGAGGGCCCCCCCCCCCCCAGGTCCCTTATTTTGCCCCCAAAGTTCCTTGGAGCACTCCTGCCTTCCAGCGTCAGTTGTGACTGTTTGTCTGAAAAGTTTTGACTCAGACACACGAGGTGTTTTCACTCACAGCAACTCTGTGGTGAAACGATTCTTTAATTCAGTTTGGTCACTGGAGTCGTTCACACTTTGCTCCACACCTCATGTCAAAGCAACATTACTACTCTGTTCCAACACATGATGCCACCGGTGGGCTCACCGCTACGAGCGAAGCGTTCGATACCCACCTGGCTCTGCTGGCTCTCCTTTTGTCTCTGGGCCTCCCGGCTCCGTCTGCAGCTCCACTCCTTCAGCGCCTCCTGGGCCTCCGGCGTCAGGCAGCCCGACACCGGCTGCTCCCGATCCAGGCTCTGGATCAGACACAGGCTGGAGAACACACTGGTCAGGTAGTAACCACCTGAGAGGAAATCAGAAAGAGTCTCAAAATACTAACGTCACAAAGGCTGTTTACTCCACTTCCTGTTTAAATACTATATGAATGACGAATACCACACAGGGATCACTGTGTAGTAAGGAAATATACAGAAATATTCCATAAAGTATCAGAATCCTCAATTTATCTCATGATCAAAAACAGAAGAGATATTTAAATCGTGTAACAGTCACTCAAACACGTGTTCCAGTCTTAAACATCAGTCTTTTTATTTCCCTGCTTCTGTGTGAAGTCGTGTGTACAAACGCTTCACAGGATCCATCAGAGCTGCACTAACATGCTGATCCTCTCTCCGCCCACACAAGGGCGGTGAGATATCGATTTAACAGCTCAAAGCACGTTTGACATGTTGCAAAATAAAATTACAGCTGGTGAACAGCGGATGTTTTTGGATTCATCGGACACGTTGGTATTACCCTCTCCTCCGAGCCAGGACGGCTCCAGCAGCTCCATCATGTACTCCACCTCCATCAGAATGTGAGGCTGGTTACACTCCACCATCACATACGACAGCGACGGCAGGAAGTCGTCCCAGCTCACTTCCTGTCCTGCAAACAAAGCAACGAGACAGTCCGACAAAATCAGAGCTTCAGTGTAAATAAGAAATTAGTGATAGAGCTCAAGAGCCTGGTTTCTGAAGCACAAATCTGTTTCATGAAATGTGTGTGAGGCTTCGTCTCACCGTGCAGGGAGCCCATGGCCTTGTGGACGCACTTGCACACCTGCAGCAGCAGCAGGACTTTGTCGATGGGCGAGTGCGTCCGCTGCATGAGCGCCAGCTTCTGCTTCACCCTCTCCACCCCGCGTCCGTCCGGGACGCCCGTCCGCACGCCGAGCCGCTCCATGGCCGCGTCCCCTTTCAGACGGAGCAGGTTCTGGGCGAGGCGCTGGCTGGAGCCGTCCTGGTTGTGCAACGCCACCAGGGCCTTCTCCAGGTGGGACCTCAGGGGCCGGAGCACGCAGGAGAACATGGCTCGCTCCAGCGCCAGGTCTGGAACAGAGGGCGCGGTTCAGAGACTGGACGTTGTTCTATACAGCTGTGAGACATGGTTCTGGAGAGAACTGCTCCTGTGTCGTATTCACTGGAGAACTTGTTGGTGAAATAAAAAGAGTCAAACATTTGAGTGTAAACTTCCTGATGTTCAAGAGGACGACAACATTGACTTTGAATATTCGAACAATCACTTCATATGTGAGACAGTGAACGTTTCGGACAAATTAAAAGAAATTCCCTCGAGGCCTTCGTGAGATATCGTGTTCGTGACAACAGAACTGTGTTTGTTAAGGTCCCAGTGACCTTTGACCTCTGAGAAGCTTTGAGGCGCCTCAGGCTGACTCCACATGAAAATGACTGATATCAACAGATAGTGTAGAAAACAGATGTTTACACAGGAAACATATCTGATGACAGATTACATTTACACAGCACAGTGTGTTTCAAATGTTTCATGCTGCACCATCTGTAATAACTGCAGATATTTTCCTATCAAATATATTTTTTATTTCTCTAAATGCAGAGTTTTCATTGTTCTAAAGTATTTCTAAAGTTTGTTGTGTTTTATTTCATATACGCTGAAAACAGTAGAAAATAAAAACCCTTAAAAAAACACATTCAGAAGATGCAGGTTTTATTTTTCGGCTTGAAAACGTGATGTGAGAAACTCATGTACATGTAGAG